AATATTGGAATATTGGAATATAGGAATATTGGAATATAGTTAAAATGGTTTTGTACTGTACTGATATATTGTTTAAACATTACACACTTAAATACAGTAAAATTGTTTTATCTAAATATGCCATGCTGAAATAGGAGTACATTTAAAATGTATACATATATTTGCCGCCAAATACGGTAATACAAATTCTATAAATCAGTTGACATTATTAAGAGACAGCAAAAATAACATTTAAGCGAGTACAAATTATTAAAAAAATGATCTTGAATGGAATTTTAAGTTTTAAAGTTAATATGCCATTATTGAAATGTAAATAATTACCTCTATATAGCAAAATATCAACATTATTAAAAATTGTGTTTGATTACAATTCTATAAAAAAAAATTGACAATAATTTTGTAATCGTTGGCAAGCTAGTCTAGTTGAGTAAGGTTAATTTGTGGAGCGAATTCGAAAATAAACACCAAGACATGATCAAATGACAAAAATTGGTTTCTTAATCCTTTGAAAATAAATATTTAATATTGGAATATTGGTATATATTCTATTTCTGTTTACATCTTAAGTTTATTCTGGTCAGGATTGAAATGCGAATCAAAATGTTTTTTGAGTTCAGGACATTTTTTCTGTGGGAATTTTGATTGTCTTGATTTTTTGCTTTTCTCCACATTTTATTAACACATCGTCTGTGCTGATTGGTTTCATTAATTTATACTGCATTAAAGTGATATTTTTTAACATCAACTTTCAGTTGAATAATAAGTTTGTTTTTTCAATAAGTAATTTCTCAATTACCCAAATGTGTGTTCTTATCAAGAGAAAAATTTGCGATTAACTTTATGTAACTAAAAATTCTTTACAACTGATCATTTTGACAATTTTTAAAATTAGGAATAATTCTTATTATATTATCGTGTGTTATTACGACAAGCATGTTCATCTTGATTGTTATACTCACAACGTTTTGACCGTTATACTTTCCGACCTTCATCAGGTGTCAGTAAGACATTATTTAATTATAAAAAAACAAACAAACTTTTAATAACTTTTATAAATAAAAGGTATTTTGGACAGTATTGCTTTAAGAAATTTTTTACAAGAATGGTTTTCATTTTTAAAATTTTAATTAGAATACTTTATAAACTTTTAAATCTTTTAAAATTCTGTATTAATTTGTAGTGGCCAAGTGAGAGTGTTAGATTAAAATTGTATTTACTAATCATAAATGGATTGCAGCAATTGATCGACTCCAGGTATTTTTAAAAGAATTTTTAGTTTTTTTTTATTTGTGTATAAACGTGTCTATTTTTGTAAATACGGGTGTCCGTACATGATATTAACCAGGGGCAGCTATAGTAAATTTAAAGTTTATTGGGCGTCCATACTTGGCATTATTAGAAAGTAAGAGCGGTAACTATAGTAAATTTAAAGCCAAATTACCTAAAATTCAAGAAAACATTAGATTATGGAGAATATCTTGAAAAAGTTTTAAGATAACTGGGTAGTTAAATATATATATATATATATATATATATATATATATATATATATATAAAGGCGTTATATTCGACAAGTAATTTTTACAGATTTGCCTCCCGTAGAAAAAAATAGTTAAATTTCCAGCTCTCAATAGAGCTGTCAAGTACCTCATAAAGCACCGACATGTTTTAAAGAATGCATTTCTGCGATATTTTAAACTAAAAGTAAGTAATATTTGTTTCAAATCAGATTAATTAAATTTTAAATCAGCTGAAGACTTCCTCAAATAAAGATTCAGAAAAGTATATTTTATTTTTGAAAGATTTAAAAAATATATATAAAGAGACTTACGTTGTGCTGCGAGAACTGTAAATATGGTTAAAATCGTCCATTTTTTTACAAATAAAAAAAGTCGTTACAACAAATTTAGATTCGGAAAATACAGCAAAGTATTTTGCTTATTAGAAATATTAAATTTAATTTAACTTGAAATTAATACTAAAATAAAGCTTCAAGAAAGATTTTTAATTTTTAAAAAATTTATTTTAAATCTTAGGAATTGTGCTTCTTTGGAGTTACCTACTATAAATCTAAAGTACCTAAGATTCAATAAAATATTAGATTGCTTAAAATATTTCTTAAATTTTTAAGATTACTGTGTAGTTAAAAAAAAATCTACATAAAAAGTTGTTCACCTTGTATTCGTCAAGTAATTTCCCTCAATTTTGTCCCTCCTTACTTAAATTTCCCGAATAGTAAATCAGAAAAGCACTCTCATCTATGTTAAAAATACTTTTACTGCGATTTTTTAAGCTAAATTTTAGATTAATTAAGTTAAAATTTCTCAAATAAAACTTCAGAAAACTATATTTTATTCTTAAAAAGATTTTTTATGATAGAGAATTACATTGTTTTGATAGATCTATCAATATGGAAAATATACATTTTACTGACAAGTAGAAAAAATTGAAATCAGTTTAAATTTGATTTGAAATACAGCAAAGTATTTTGCTTATTGGAAATATTAAATTTAAATTTAATCTATTAGCTTGGAATTAAAGTTAAAATTAAAGCTTCAATAAAAAATGAAAACTTTAAAAAAATTACGTATCGCTTTTTTAGATCAGTCAGTTATGTGCCATGCGATCATGTATCTTTCGATACATGACTGACAAGGCAAATTTTTTCCTGCAGCAGGTTGCCATTTCTTTCTGCAGTAGACCAGTCTGTCCTGCTTGGGGAGGGGGAGAAGAAGAGGATTCATATCTTTCCCAAGGGTATTAGCACGTAAGTGAATGTAAGAGATCTGACTGGAATTCGAACTCGGTTCTCCGATTTCTCAATCCGAGCGCCGTTATTACACCACCGTACTTATCGTTATGTAAGCTTAATTTGCATGAAAATATTATTTAGGACTTTCTCCTTTGTTATTTTCATTGCATTTTCGATTCACCTCAAATTATTTTTTATTATTTTTTATCGTTCCTTATTTATTATTATTATTATCGTTTTAATATAGAATTTTCCCTATTTTTTATAAGGGGATTAGTTTCATTCGAAGGGCACCAATCATAATCAAATCTCGTGCCAAAAATCGATTTCAAATCATTTTGAGTTACCAACTTAAAATTCCAGTTCGAAGCGAAGAAAATAATTTCTCAACTTCAGACCTGTTAAGCCATTATTCCACTGACATGTTTTCCACTGTTATATTAAGCGTATGGTGGCAGAACAAGGTTTAAAGAAATAAACAATTGTATTAACGTAAAATACAACAAATGATAAATCGGTGTAGATGTCTCTCGTTGAAGAAAGTAAATAAGTGGAGTTGAAAAAGCCGTAGGTAGAAACATACGGTGGGAGAGTGGGGTGAGTTGTGACTTACTGAGGCGACGGTCTTTGGCGAACTGTCTCTTGGAGGTGGGAGGTCGCTTTCCGACGAAGTCTGTGAACCCGGACCAAGATGCCGTCCAACTACCGAAAATGTCCCTTTGATGAGTTTTTATGTCATTTCGTAGGCTTAAATAGACTTTGGCTTTTATTTTGTTTCTTTAGGTGGGAGTGGGTGCAATTGGTTGGAAATTCTGGATTGTATTGCTTACTTTTTCTTTGAGTGTGTGAGTAAAAACGGAAGCTATGGGCGGAGCCTGTGTGCAGTTGACGGAATTTTAGTTCAGTCTTGGGTTTCGGAGCGTTCACATCCTGTCAGTGGTGGAAATTAGTATAGTATGAATCAGAAGAAGATCTGGTTTTGGGAAGAATGTAACACCACCATTGGAGGATTAAAAGATTTTCCGAACAGAAAATTCTATTTAAAAAGTTTAATACACTAATACTTGCAGCGGTAGTTCTATTTTTATATCCGTAAGAGGTGTCCGAAATCTAATTTCACATATTAGTGTGAACTTTTTAAATAAGTTTTTTGTTTGTTAGAAGATAATTTTACATTGTGTCGCGAAAATCTTTTTCTCGAATTTGCTGGAGTGGTGAATGGAGTTATGATTGTTACTTTTAAATGGTTAAAAAATAACACGTAGTAACTCTACAACTAACTCCGCAAGTATTTCGACAGTATTTGTTGTTTATCAAACAAACCTTCTGATAGAATTTTATTAGTTGAAAAATATATATAGGATGCAATTCCTATAATACTCTACTAGATTAATAAGTATTCAAAATATTTTCAATGTCTGACATATATTTTAAAGTGGGTAGGGCAATCTACTTTTCTACTAGATTTTGCAGTGACTTTTGCGAGTGTGCTTATTAGTGAAGCATTTGGTAAGCACGCCTTGGTGTGTGGTGGAGGTGTAGAGTGTTTCGTCGTACTGTTCTTTGTAGATAAATCCAAGTACGCCAGTTTTAGTCTGTCGATGGAGACAGTATCGTGTTTAACATTTGAAATAATGGTAAAATATTTTGGTTTCATTTCTTCTGTTTGAAAAGTTCCTTTGTAAGTAGGACAGTGAGAGTTTTTTTTTAATGCATTATTGCATAAGAAAATGTATTATTTACAGTTGTACGGGTTCTTTGTGTTCTTGTAGGTGTGAAAAATCATTCAGTTGTAGAAAAATTTAGTCGGCTGTAGTGATTGATTTTTTCACAAAACTGCCCAGGCAATGTTAAGGTTTGTTTTAAAGATCATTTCAGAAACTGTACATCTCAAATCCTGTTTGACTATATTTCTGATTGATAATAAGACTAATGGTACGTTTTCCAACTATGTTCCGGAATAATTATTTGCTCTTATCACAAGTTGGCATCCCGGCAATGACAAACAACGTTGGCAACACGAACTGCTGCAACAAGTTGGCACCCCGGCAATGACAAACAACGAGTTGGCAACACGAACTACAGCAACAAGTTGGCACCCCGGCAACGACTCAGCTTCAACAACCAACAAAGATCATCCTGGCATCACTCAACATCAACAACCACCAAGCGATCATCCTAGCAACAACTCACATCAGCTTCAACCCCCAACAACGATGATCCTAGCAACTGCCAACCTCGACCATCAATGCCTGCACTAAAACTTCTGCAGTATCCAGCACTCCTGCAGCATCCGGCTCACTCCTGCAGTATCCAGAACTCCTGCAGCATCCGGCTCCTCCTGCAGTATCCAGCACTCCTGCAGCATCCGGCTCACCCCTGCAGCATCCAGCTCACTCCCAGCAGCATCCGGAACTCCTGCAGCATCCGCAGCACTCCAGCATCCGGCTCCCCTGCAGCATCCGGCTCACCCTGCAGTATCCAGCACTCCTGCAGCATCCGGCTCCTCCTGCGGTATCCGGCTCACCCTGCAGCATCCTCCTGCAGCTTCCAGCACCTCCACCGTTTCCGACCATCTTCATTTCCTTTTCCTTTTAGAATAAACCTCTATATATCATATATATCCTCGTTCTGTCGTCCATATTGTTTCACTGTCAGATTTAACGTCTTCAAAAATGTTAGCGGGCCTCTTGTGACCTCGTTCACCCCTTTCCGTGAAACGGGGCCGCTGGACCGCCCGCTACAGCTTACATCACAGTGTAGTGTTTTGGTTCCAAAAAAGAACAAGATATTCCTTCAATTGTAAGGAAGTGTCCTCTTTATTTTGACTAGAGTAGCATTTTTTGTTGTTGATATGCAATGAGGTCGAAGTTAAGGGTTTCATGATCTAAAGAATGTATAGTGGAGCGTTAGAGAGTATCTGCAACTATATTTCCTGAACCCTTAATATAACAGATATCTAACTTAAATTGGAATATATAGTCCAGTTGTCGAGTATCTCTGGGTGTTTATTCATCTGTATTCACGTGTAAGGCGTACGTAAGAGGCTTGTGATTTGTGAAAACAGTAAAGTTTCGTCCTTCAAATAGATGCCGGAAATTACTTACAGACAAATAAATTGCAAATAATTCCCTCAGGAAGACACTCTATTTCTGTTGTGATTTGTTTAATTTTACAGAGAAAAATGAAATTGATCTGTATATGCCATTTTGCTTTTGATGTAGGATTGCTGCAATTGCTCCACAGATTTACGAGAGTTTAACAAAATTTGATAGCATTTTTTTAGAGTCCTGAAATGCAGTTAATGTTTCTCCTTCTAGGATTATTTTTTTTATTCTTATTTTTTATTTGTTTCTGTAGCAAATTTGTGACTGGAGTCAAGATTTTGGTGCAACCTGGAATAAAGATTGGATTTTAGATCCATTTGCAGCTTGAAGTGGACAATGTGTGTTTTTGTTTGGGGTTCACTAGAATATCGCTAACTTGTGTGCCAGTATCGACTAAAAATAAGTATCTAGTATTTTTGTCGTGGATATAAAATAGACGACATCCATGTTCTATTTCAGCAGCTAATGTCGTCTTTACTTGCTGCTATATATATATCTGTTTCCCTGTGTGTCGTTTGGCTTTTTCTTGAGTTGAAAGCGCATGGTTGTATGTATTTCTTTGTATGTTGTCCAAATTTGTAATGATACCAACAGGTATGATATTTGAGTTGCCCTTAGGATTTACTCCGACTTGTTCTGTGTGGAGAGTAGGAATTGTTTTGAAAGTCAGCACGAGAGAGATGGCTATTTTCTTGTTGATTTTTCATTAGGATTTAAATTTAAATGCTTAACTTTGTTATATTTTTCGACTTGGTACAATCTGTCTTATCTATCCGTTGTATACACTGTTCACTTGGGTTTTATATGCGTGCATTCTTTCGGCAATTCCGGATAATTTTTCCGTCGGTATTTCTTCCAGTAAATCAACAACCTTAGTTGCAACATCTGCAACAACCTTAGTTGCAACATCTGTAACATATGCATATCGCGAATTTTCTGATATGATCTTTTTAGCGTTAAAAATCACATGTAGATGGGAGAACCAGGTTTACACGTTCGTTGGATTGTAGATTGGAAAGTTCACCGTCAACGTGGCTTCTGTAGAATCGATCGCGGCTATTGTCCCTTAGTAGGGAACTGCCTCGACGATATGGTGATGGTAAAAAATGTATCTTTTCTTTTAAAATACTAGAGGAGAAATGTTCTTTAAAAGTCGCGGGTCACGACTGTTTGGATCCGTCTACCCATGTTTTTGTGGCTATCTGAGTTTCGAAATTCCAAACTTTTAATAACAACAACAGTACATCTTTTAAATGAAACATAAAACAGAAACGTAAAAGCAGAACATCAGTGGAAACAACATTATTATACCCTTCTCAGAAATATTAAATAGTAATAAGATGTTCAATTTTTCTTGCAGTGAAGTTTGTTTTATCAAGTAATTAAGTGTTCGTAGTACGGTGTGAGATGTGTGGATAGACTTAATGACGGTCATCCTAATGTGTTCATGAGTGCATAGACAACAGCTTAGGCGGTGGCTGCTGGTTGTCATCTCTTCATTATGTGCGTGGATGCACGTGTAGGTCAAACTGGTTCCCGAAATTGTTTTGAGCCCCGAGAAGCAGTAGGCTTCTATTTTTATATTTGTAAGAAAGATTCGAAATCTAATTATCCATAGATATGTAAAAATTTTGAATACAAGGTTTTCATTAGTTAGAAAATAATTTTACACTGACTCGCGAAAATCTTTTTCACGAATTTGCGGGAGTGGTGAACTGGAGTTATTATTGTTATTTTCTAAATGGTCCAAAAATAACACGTGGTAAGTCTACAACTACGACCGCTAAGTATTTTTGGTTGTGTTTGTTGTTCATCAAACAAACCTTATGACAGGATTTTATTGGTTGAAAAATGTATATAGGATGCAATTCCTATATAGTCACGTCTTGTTTAATGCCAGAGATGTCAGCAAATTTTTGTTCTTGCAGGGCATTTCCGGACGTGCTTGGCTACAAATGACTTATGACTTACAATTGACTGACTTATTACTCCAGTGACACGCTGCGGTCATTCCCGAATTTAAATTGCCACACCTCACATATATGCTTGAGGGAAAACATTTTATCTACATATTTACAGAATATAAATTTGACAGTAGTTTGTTCAGGCAGTAAAGCATATATGCATTAGCAGATATGAAAAAGATAAGTGAATTAAAGGTCGTACTGGGTAAATACTATAGTCATAGTCGTCAGTGTGTCCATGCTGTATGTTTAGATAAGAGAAAATGGGAGTCTGGAATGTATGTACTGTATAGCTTCAATTGGTAATGGCCACTTAACTTTCATGTAACTCCACAGACTGTAGCGTGACACATTTCTTACTCTTTGACATGTATATAAACTATAATTGAGTAGGCAACCAAGTTTTGTAATATTATATATGGAAAGAAAAATATATTACTTTCATTGAAGCACTTAAGAAGCGATATGCTATTGCATGATACTGACCCAAACATTTAGCCCTCAAAAGACAAGAGAACTTCTGAAGAAGCAAAAGGTAAAATTACTCAACTGGTATGTCACCAGATTTAAATCCAATTAAGCACCTGTGGAATGTACTTAAATGAAAAGTAGAAAAATGAGAGTCATCCAATTTGATCAGTAGCATGCAGAGGTGAGGGGAAGGCAGAAGGTGCAATGGACCAGTGCATCCATATCAGGTGGGCATTATTCCACTAGAAATAATAAAATGCTGTTATACTTTTGATGAACTAATAATTATTTCATTGGAAACATTGGGAATAACCCATTTTATTCCCAATGTTTAAAGGGTTAAAATAAATAATAATTTATTTTCTTTATAGTGATGAGTGAGTCCTTTGGTATTCACCATAGCAGAAAGTTTGTTAACAGCTTGAAAAATGTTTGTTTTGGTAGTTGGAAGTAAGACCATGGTAGGGGTAGTAGCAATGTATAAAAATTAGGTCAGATGTCAATCTGTTGTGATCTTTTCAGCTCTGACACAGGGTGGAAATGTAAGTAGCAGATGACCTTTTGACTCCTTCTTCATTTGTCACATGTTGCTATGTTCTTTTGTTCTGTACTCTCCTGAGGTCATTTTGGTCTCCTCTCTGCTTCACTGCATCCCATTGGTTGGTAGCTCAGAGGTATCAGGCTTTATACCCTTTTGAATAGGTGCAGAGTTTATGATTTATGAATTTTGATTTGGGCTAATCATCAAGACTCTCTGTGTCAATTTTTTTGATTGGCCAAATGATTTTATTTTTTGGTATTCCTTTCTTTTTTCATTTTTTTTTAATGGAAGTTATGTGTGGAGCCTTTCTGATTTTTGGTATTTTTCAGTCACATTTAGTAGACTGTACTCTTGCAAACTTCCAGCGTTTTGGGCCTGGTTCAGTCTTTTCTTCTTTTTATTTGAGGGTTGCCTTCTTGTTAGTTGAAAGAGAAGTATAGAAGTTTAGAGAGAGAGAGAGAGAGAGAGAGAGAGAAAGAGAGAGAGAGATATAAGAGTTTTAAAGGAAAGTGCAAATGCCTTATTTTAATTTAAATCTTTTTTTATTTTTGTTTATATATTTTATTTTTGGATTTTATTTTTATTAGGACTCACTACAAACTAATAAATAAGAAATATACTTTTAGTATTTGTGTGTGAAAAGAAGAAAGTATTAAAATAGTTAATTATTCAAATGTACTTCTAAAAATACTAAAAATACTATGTAATAAAAATGAGTAAAACTGATAAGTCAATGAATAGGAGTAAAACAGTTTCTTAATACTTTAGTTTATAAATGCCATTTTTTTTTATTTCATTTTATTTGACAACCTCAGTAAGAAGTTTAAAATATAACCCTGAAAGAAATAAGCTTTTACTAGTTGCTTTGGTTTTCAATGATTGAACCATTTGTCTGCAAGAGTCTATAAAGAAGATAAATTGGTCTGTAATGAATAAATGGATGTCATAATAGAAAGGGAAAAGATGAGAGCATAAAAAGAAGTGAAAAAGAAACAAAGAAAAAGAAAAACAATGTACAAGATAAAGGAAGAAAAGTAGTTGATGAAGAATATAAAAAAGAAAGAAAAGTAGGATAAATAGTGAAGGAAGAAGAGAAGTAAATAAGATAGTAAAATTGAGTGAAAGGAAGTAAAAAAGAAGACCAAGAGAAGAATAAAAACAAAGAAAAAGGATATAGCAGAGAAGAAAAGGAGAAATAGATTGTAGTAACTTGAAACAAATCCAAATTTAAATCTAATGGACAATTATTTTAATGACAATAAGAAAAGCTTCTTTCAAACTAAAAGCTCCTAATTCTAGATAAGATGCTATACTAATTTGAAAAGAAATGCCTTTCTTACATTTATAGGCCAATCAGAACGACTCTGATAAAAGCAACAACTTATCTGATCCAACTAAGCTTTATATAAAGAATGCTTGTTCACTGATAAAACTAAAGTTGAGTCCATTCGTTCATCTCTCCAAGCCATAGACATGTACGCGAACATTTCTCACTGGACACACAGGTCATGCAATCAAAGAGTAAACAATCCACTTTGTAACCTACCCATTCATAAAAAACATACATAAACACATAGATATTCTTATATGGAGAAAGAAAATATATTTTATTTTTAGTAAATGTCATTATTTGCAGCTTACAGGAGAAATAGCTGTATAAATGTATTGACTTTAAGAAGCTGACATGTCATTCTAGTTGTTGGTGAGACTTTTGAATTCTAGCCACTTCACTTAAGATTTGGTACAGATTTCTGTAGATTTTCTGACAGTTGAGTGACTACAACCTGTTGCAAAGTCTTGTATTTATTTGCTTCCAGCAGTTTGTGAACTGACTTAACCAAAAACAATTCAAATTAGTTCAAAATTCCATTTTTGTACTTTTTTATAATTTCTAGTACATTCACAAAATTTTAATCACATTTTTTGCTTTATTTTTGGCAGGTTTTGTTTCTGGGGATTGCCATTTTGGTATATATATATATATATATATATATATATATATAAAAAAGTATGGAATTTTATTTATTAATCTGACAGATTTTATTACCTAAAAATCATTTTTAATGTATACTCATATTTGAGTAGATGCTCCATTTATTTATTAAACAGTATATCTATTTATTTTCATCTAATGGTGAAATTAGAATTTGAGAAATCTTATTAGAGAAAAATATGCTCTCTCCAGCAGAATTCAAATCTGTGTTCTCCTAGGAGAAACTCATAAGATCTGATGTGCTTTAGGTCTCTCAGTTACAGAGTGCATCAATGCTCAAGCAAAGTTGAATAGTACCTTTACACACAAATTTTTTTCTGACTCTTAAAATAGACATATCTACTCAGTTTCTTATCCTAATGTAAACAAAGCAATTTTTAAAGAAATGAATTAATTTTTTATTTATTAATCTGATAGATTACTTAAATGTTATTTAAATCTCTTTTACTCTACAATCCATTTTTCATTGCCTGTGATAATTCTTTAAAAAAAAATGGGTCATTTTTATTGTATTTGAACAATTCCCTCATTAAATAAAACAAATTTCTGGAGGGTCCCTGAAAGATTTGGGGAGCTAATGCTTAAGCTTAATTAGTTTTATAATAGATGTGCTGATGTGATACCTTTGATATGTATTTTCAAAATTCATATTCAATTTATATTATTTTGATTTACATAGAAATTTTTAGTCTCTAACCTGATAAAATTGATGGATGAATCTACATGAATTTTTTGTCTTTTTATGTGTGTGCATATGACTTCTAAATATCCATATCACTTATATCAGCCCACAAAATGTTTATATACATTCATAACAATCATATATGTATACAGATATTAAAATATTCTTATATACTTCCATTAACAAGCACTTTACATTAAAACAAACATATTCACATATAGATATATATGTACATATGAATACATACACAAATTCTATATACATACAAATGCATTTCCACACATACAAGCACTCCTATATATCTACATTAACAAATATGTAACCTTAAAAATAAAGACGCATTACCTTATAACGAATATAATCAAAAAGCATGTAGTTATGCAATTGATGAGCTAATACTCAAATAAAAAATATGGAACTTGTTAACCTGTGTGGACAGTCTAAGAGAATGTAAAATGTAAACTGCTTGTCAGTCAAAAAACAAATGTAATCTTGATTTCTTTATCCACTTTATTTATATCTACACTCAATCCTCAATATATTGCTTAGACAATATTTGATATTATTAGAACACTGTCTCCAAGCACATGAATCAATTCAGTTGTATCCCACCTCTCTCTCCTTATCTATCTATCTATCTATTGTTTAAAATTTTCTATATTTATGAGAAAAGTGTGCCCAGTACTGGGATAGGGCAAAGCAGATATAAACAGTAATGATAGCAACACTATGTCAACAAAAGATGATAACTTTCATGTCTTAACCAATCATTAGTATGTTATATGTCATATCATGTTGAAACACCAGTTCTCATACAGTATGATCACCAAAGTTAAGCAATGTCAAGCCTGGTCAGTACTTAGATGGGTGTCTACTTGAGAGTACCAAGTGTTGTAAGCTTGAATGTATATGTGGTGTCATATATAATATCTCAGTATTCTTAATTGAAGAGCTAAGTTTCAATTCCTGTTGGGTTTGTTATGTTCATTTATATGCAAATACCTTTAAGAAAAGTATGAATCTACCTCCTCTCCCCATAGATATCCATAATTAGTAAGGCTTGTATCACTAAACCATTATTATCTCAAAAACTTCTTACAATCTAAAAATATTTTCTGGCTTTAAATAACATAATTTGTAGAAAATTAATCTATCAATGAAAGAAACTGTCATTAAGCTTTCTTTCTTTCACTCTATCTATCTATCTATCTATCTATCTATCTATCTATCTATCTATCTATCTATCTATCTATCTATCTGTTTGCCTGCCTGCTTCTCTCTCCCTCTCTCTCTCTCTCTCTCTATCTATATATATATATATATACACACATATACACACACAGATATATATATGTGTGTGTGTGTGTGTACTATATATATATATATATATATATATATATATATATATATATATAGTACAGGTAATAGATCCATTGGTTTATAATTCAGTTTAAATATTAAAACTGATCCAAAGATAGCTCAATGTGTTTATAACAGAGCATATGTATTTTTTCAGTAAAATGGATTTTTGCTGTAAATAAATAAATTTGACATTGGAAGTACTATGAACACATTCAAAGAGCATTGGTGTGGACATGTGCAATCTTTCAACAATACTAATCATAAATACTTCATTGTCCAAGTATTTTTGGAGTTTAAAGGAGAAAAACGAGACACCTACTGTTAAATGGAAATTAATTATGAGAGCACAAGTATGTAATTTTCTATATGCTCCTAGTTATTTATGTCTTAATGAAAAATTTGAAATAATTAGATTTAAAGACAAGATCCAACTCTTAAATCACAGGAATGAACTCACTGTTTACTGTAAACATAGCTCAAAATTTAACCTACTAGTAATATTTTCAACGATAAAACCTACTAGTAATATTTTCAACGATAATGCAAAATTATTGTAAGTTTAGTATGTTATCACTTATATTATTGGCTAATCATCCTATTCATGTACATATATGTATGTAAACATTTATATTGTCATTTGTTTGTGTGTACATGTGGGTGTATTTTTATGTAAAGATGTATGTATGTATGTATGTATATATATATATATATATATATGAATATAAGTGTGTATTTACAGGTATGTATGTATATATGAATATATTTGTAAAATTAGACAAAAATAATGATAAATTATGCAACTGTTTATATATCTAAATATGTCTATGTGTTTTATATTATAATATGATTGTGTTTATATTGTCATTATTTCTTTCCCTGCCCATATCATCACTTCAAATGTATCTAATTTGTTACAATATTTGTATCTCCTTAGATTAGCATTTTCTCTGAGATTTTGGCTTTCTGATTGAAACAAAATAAATAATAAAATATATGTATATTTCCTCAGTTCCTTCTTTAAATAATTTTATAATATTTTAAACTTAATAAAGGTTAAATTTAAAATTGGTAATTATTATTACAGTTTTATAGTAAAATTTAAATTTAATTAGTTAGAATGATTTTTATTTTAGTCTAACACTAAAATTAAGGCATTAATTATTATAACCCAGGTTCATTGTTAAGTTTTTTTGAATTCTCATATACTTGTATTTTGATTGGTCATTGCAGCTTATGTAACAACGTTTCCTCTAGTGAGGGATGTTTGATTGATTTGAACCTTGTAAAACTCTTCATTCTACATTCAACACCATCACTTGTGTCGAAGTGCTGAAATAAAATGACTATTTTTGTAGTGATGGTATAACATGTTTATGTTATAATTTTTAAATAAATAATATTTGCCTTACTCTGTATTGAACATTCTTTTAAGAATGTTATTTTTGGTTATTGGAATTTATTTTGTCCATACCAATCCTATACTTGTATATATATATATATATATTTATATATATATATTTATATATATATGTGTGTATGTGTTAGTGTGTGTATGTGTGTGTGTGTGCATATATATATATATATATATATATATATATATGCATATATATACATACATACATATATATATATATATATATATATATACATGCACGTGCACACACGTAATACATACACATGGGCTGATTCAAGGAAATGCCTCTTATCTGTATATTGATACAGAAAGCACAGTAGCAATTTCTCAAAAAATCATAGTACTGACTCAAATACTGAAATCTTGAAAACTATGAGGTGTCTATGAATTAAATTATTAATTTGGTAGTTTGTTGAATATATTAAATTTCAGTTTTTTAATTTGATGTTAAATAGTTTGTGTCCAGAAGAATCAATGGAAATAAAGAAATTTGTAATTCCTAATGAGGCTATTTGTTATAACTATAGCATCGGCAATAAAATAAAATTTTGTTTTTATTAAAATAATTTCTTTGTGCATAGTTTAATCCTAAAAGTTCTACCCAGAAAGTGTCTAGCTATTTAATATTAATATGACATAACCAGCATAGAACAATGACATCTTAATCCTTTTAAGTGTCTTCATTTAAGATTTCACACATTTATTCCAGTTTTTAAACAGTTCCTCACATTTTATAAACAGCCTGAGTACCCCTCCCATCTTTTAAAATAGCCTGCAATATCCTTTTTTAGGATTCCCATTAACAGCCCTATTATGTTTTTAATCTTGTCCATAGTATTACAACAATAGTTTTAGCTTTAGGTTGTAGAGAGCCAAAACAAGACGGTAGGGGACTGATAAATCTGGTGGATGCAATGTTTGTTAAATAAGTTAGCAAAAGAAATGAAAAACCTACTTGTTTGGCTATTGTGCATTTGATTTGTATCCCTTTGTAACCCCATGTAAGAGTATCTGTTTATAGATATTCTGTAAGGTTCTCTCTGATTAGTTGCCATGTAATATCAAGGCCATCAAGGCTACACAACCGGTTCTGAAGTCAAAATTCAAGACAAACCTTATAATGTATACATTCTGTCTAAATACATGCATATATTTATCTACAGCTCTGTATTTCTTGTTATATATATACATATATATATATATATTCTCTCTCTCTCTCTTTCTCTCTCTCTCATATATATATATATATATGTGTGTGTGCGTGTGTGTGTGTATATATATATATATATATATATACACATACATACATACATACATACATACATACATATATATATATATATATGCATGCACATGTATATTTGTGGAATAAAATTTGTACCCATAAAAGAGTGAGAAAGTATAGCTAACTACTCAAAAGTTTTTACTTAATCAAACAGATATCCTTAGTTGACCAGTCAGAAGTACTTAGAGTACTCATGTCAAAGCAAGAAAATAAATAAATAAATGTATACAAGTAAGAGTAAAGATAAAAAAATATGAAGTAGAAAATAATAAATCAAAGACAAGAGGAATGAATTCAGAAAAGAACAGAGACTGCCTTAATTTCTAAAGATGTTTTGTTTGAATGAAGCCAACATCTGTACTCCCAAAGGAATCTAGCATGAAAAACCATACACCAGTCATTTAGCCTTTAAAGTATCCTAGATGTCCAAACAACGTGAAACATCATAATTTTACAATCATCATGGAAACCATTGTGCTACATGAACAATACTCATCTCCACTATTCATTATATACATTATCATAAAAATATAGCTTAGAAGGAAGTGATTTTGCATTTATAAAAATGTTTATCTATTAGCTATTTCATTTTGGTTGCTGGGTCATAGGAGAAAAGTCATCTCCAACATATATAAAAAGTTAATCACAAATATATATATATATTGAATGTCTTCTGGTATCATTTCTTGATTCAGTCTTAAAAATAATTTTCCAGTAATTTCAGAATCTAACTCAGTATTTAATATATTCTTTAGTTTATTTTGTAGAAATTTAGCTGAAGTCAATTCATTAAACTGAAGATGAAAATATATTTTCTTCTATTTTGGGGTGTTGTATTGACATTAAAAAAAACAAATTCACAATATCAAATTGGGTTATTAATACCAAAAGATAATTTTTTGTCAACTTTTGGATTTGGTACAAGTTATGGAGCTGTAATTCTTGCTATTGAAGACCTGGAAAATCAAAGAATCATACCAAAGAATTCTTTACAGTAAGTAATCTTTGCCAATTTTTATCATTAGTTTTCTCATAAAGAAGTTCAATGTTTCACTTATAGGAAAGTATAACTTAACATTTATAAACATTTTCTTACAATTTTCAGTATAAAATAAGTTATTTTTAGCATTAAGATTCAATAAACTTGGATTTGAAGTGAAATGAAATTATTTCACTAAAAATAACTGTCACAATAATTTGCAAGCTATCATATATAAAAACAATGATAAAACTTGATAAAAGAATGCATAAACATATTTTTCTGTGCAAAATTGCTGATTTTAGCTTTTCAGGAATAAAAATTCTAAACTTCAATCAACCTTTGTATATTTTGATCTTATAACTCAAAACAACAATCAATCAAAAGTTTTTATCAAAAATAAATGTTTCAAAAATTATTTTGTTTAACAAAATTTATATTTTCATTTGATCTTGGGAAAGTATTCACATTCGCTTTCTCTCTTCCTTTCTCTCTGCCTCTCTCTTCATATATATATATGATAAATATATATTTTTAAGGTATACTTTATGGGTTAAAGTGCTTACTATCAGAGATAGAGTGTATATAAATATAAAAGTCAACAGTGATGTCAACTTTTATATATATTAGAGATAAGGATAAGCAGCACTCAAAAGAGTCTGCCTAAGATTGTGTGTGTGTGTGTGTGTGAAAATATATAGTAGAAAATAGGAAAGACCTCATTAGGTAAATAATCCAATGTTCTTTAGTATTTTTGTTATTATTTTTAAAAAAACAGTGCTCAATACAAAAGTAGAGCCTAAATATAATTATTTATTTAAAAATATGTAGTGATGGAATCATATTTTTAAATAAATAATTATATATATATATATATATATATATATATATATATATTATAATTTTTTCATATAGACAAAAACAATTTACTCACTACAAAGATCCAACTTTGTTTTGGTGCATTTAGTTGCATCTTGACTGGTGAGAACCAAAAATGGTTATGAACAATTCTGTTTTTAAGCAGGCTGCACATGGAAGATCACTTCCTTTTTTGTATTTGTTTGAAAAAAAGGTAAATTTTAAAAGAGGACATATAAGGATAAAGAAATGATAGGAAAGGCAAAAGGGGTGACAGAGTGCAAACAATTTGGTGAAGGATTATTGAGGTGTTAAAGTGATGGCTCGACCTGAAAAATTTTAAATCGACAGCAACAGTCAA